CTCAGGTCCCTTCCAACTCTACTAACTATGAAACTATGAAACTATGAAGGGGACTGATCACTAAAACATAAGTGTTTGGATCCCATGACAATGTGGCCACAAGCAAACAATATGTGCTGTGTTACGGCCAAATGAAGCTAGGCATTTGAGAATGAGGAATGCTGGACAGACTGACCGGGTAGCAAAACTCTGTTTGGGAAGCAGAATGTCTGAAACAGATATGGGACATAGTTAGCTGAACATGAGCTTCCTGTGTAGCACTGTAGCTGGAAGGTCAAATGCAATCCTTAATGGAGCTGGGTTCAAAGACACAGTAAGAGTAGCAGGGGTCCTTGAGCAGGGAAGATCTTCCTTTGCCATCCTTTTCTCCCTGCTTTCAGATGCTTAGCAACTCTCTGCCCCTGGGAAGTTTTTTGTAGGGCACCAAACCTGGCAGAGCCTTTTAACTGGTCCCCCAGAAATGGGGCAGTGTCCATTAATATTGCAATGGTGAATGAACAGCTATTTCCTTTGCTGTAGACAATAGCCATGGCCTTATTAAACTCCTTTATTCAGCTCCCTTTTCCTTCCAGAACTGTTTGTAATGTGACATGGTAGAGTGTTAGTGAATACTTACTAAGTGGTTCAATTTCATAATTGCTTAACATTTCACATCAAGAACATTGGAGAAAGCAATGATAGCACAGATTAAAACACTCCCTTAGTACACAACCAGAGTACTGCATCACAACACTTGCCAATGAAAGTGTGTATTAGCCTTACAGTCACAAACACTTCCAAGCCACCTTTCTACTGATACCCTATTTTAAAAAAAAGGTCAAATCCTCAGAGTGATACGAGTTTATACCAGCTGAGAACCTAACCCAATATCATAGTTTAAACAGTGATAATGAAAAATGCTTAAAAACAATCTAGTTTACCATGTTTTTACATTTGCAAAATGAGAAGAAACAAATTTGCAGTAAAATTGTTGTACAAGTTTCTTCAAGCATAGGTGACCTGACAATGCAGACACATCCCTTTGAGATGTTAGCCTTTAATGAAGTAGTATAAATCCCATAGAAGAGAGGGGAATGTAAATTAGATTTATCCTAAGCAGGATTAAATTTATACCTGCATTTATGAAGACAAATATTTCCTTCAGTAAATATAAATTGCCCATTAGTTTCAGGAATGCCCTTTTGCACTCACTGCACATGCACTTCCACTTACGCATGCTGCCAGACACATTCTTGATGATAAGGCATGGACATAAGTGGAATTTTTAATTTATTATATGGTCATAATACTTACGCTTTTACGCAACGTTTTACATGGAGGGCCTAATATGCAGTCCTTATTCAGGCAAAACAGCTATTCAATTCCTCAACATCAGTTTTTTAAACTACTAAAGGAGACGTGGAGAGTGCAAGAGGAGAATGTGGTTATGAAGCATCTCAGTATAATTCATGCTCTAGTATGGCTCTCTGCCCCCCACTGCTGGCTGGACCATGCAATCAGCCTTTGAGCTATAGAAGGTGGAGTCTATTGCTAAGACAGTAGCACTGCATGCACTTATATCCAGAGACTCCATGGTGACTGACTGACAACACCACATCCCACTAATGGTGTCAACAAGGTAGGTAGGGGTGGTCTTCGTATCATGTTTTCATCCATTTTCCCCAGGTTTCTTAAATGCTTAAACAAAAGCTCTGCTCAACCCAGTTAGAGTCACTATCAACTGTTCCCAAAACAAAGGCTGCAGCACATAGCAGAGGTGTAACAAGCAGTTTCTGTGCCTTGGACCACAGTGGCAGCAGCAGTGACTATTCTTGCACCCCTCAACATCAGTGCCTGGAGCTGCTGCCCCAGCCATTCATGCCTACTTACATGACTGGTGGGTGATATATGTGGCTGGCAGGCACTAGCACACACTGTGTTCCTGGGCTTCTATCCAAGGGCCACAGAAGCCAATAGGAGACTTTAAATGCACTTCAGTGGACGTTGGATCCAGCCAATGTAGGGAACAGGGCACTCTGAAGTGGTGTTTACACAGGAGCAGTATTCCAGTACTTAGCCCCAGCTGTACTCCCGGTATTGAGTCATTTGGTTTCAAAGATGGATACTTAAGACCATTAAAAATGACCGTATGCAAGAGAAGGGTGTCAAACTTACGGTCTGCGGGCTGGATCAAATGTACAAATGCATGGTGTCTGGCCCACAAGGCTGGGAATTTGGGGGCGGGACAGGAAGGGGCAGGGTCTGCCACCTTAATCCAGGGCACAGAGCCTGATTGGGCACATTTGTTGGTAGTGAGGTATGAGTGATGGCCTTTAAACATTCCTGTTTCCAGATTGTGGCTTTACTCCAGTGAGGAGGGATGTCTACATATAAGGCCTGCAGATTCAATAGCCTTGTTGCCAGGTGGAACAAACCACTTCAATAGGAATTTCCATTTTTGGAATCTTCTATGAAGACCTAAGATGTGCTCAGAAGATGTTTTTTGTTTGATTGATTTTTGTTGTTTTTTTCCCTTGAACAAGCTATTTTAATTCATCTCAGAGAAGTTGTATATCCAGCCACCAGGACATTAAACGTTAAAGCCAGGAGACCTCAAACATCAAAGAGAAGGTACAGCCAAAACTGGATGTCTGTGTGGGACATAGGACTTTTCAGTCATTACGCTCCTAAAATGGGGTTACCCTGGAAAATTCCTCCCCATAATCTACCATGTTTTAAAACTAAGTCTCAAAACTGCCTGGAAGTAGAATGTAAATCTGACTTGAACCACTTTTACCAACCTGATTTCAAAGCCACTGTATGGATAAAATTCCTAAGCACCCTGCCCCCTTCCCCCCCCAAATGGAAGCCCTCTGCCTCATCATAACTTACTGTTTTTAATTCATTTTTATAATTTTAAATTAACATAAATTATTTAAAATGTATAGCCTATAAATTGTCTTCTGGATATTTGTGATAAAGATGGAACCAGTCAATTCTGATACATGGGCCTGTTATCACAGGTCATCATCACCAACTGGAATCTTAGTTAAGTAAATCAGGACCCTGTAATCCTTAATAATGTCTATAGTGCCACCAAAGAAATTGGACTACTTGCCTGAGTAAGGCTTACCCCCTGAAACATGAATGCAGGTCCTTCTTAATGGCAAACTGAACAATAACATACAAGAATGAGGGTAGAAACCAGAGACATATAAAAGCCAGCATGTCCTCCTATCCTAGCTGTTCATGTGTAATAAGCAATATTACTCCCAGACATTAATGTATTTACTATAATTCACCTCTCTGGGAGGGGTATTGAAGGCAAAGGAGGAACTTGGTGGACTAGTTTATTTGCCTCCAGACTGGTTACTTTGCTTATCTTCTAGGCTTTTTTGTCTCATAATCAAATGAACACACATTGGAGCGCTAGGCAGACCCATTTCCATACCCTTCCTTCTTTTCTCTGTGTACATCATTTTTAGATATACTAATCCTCCCATAAGGCGAGGCCATTATTTCACGGTAATTAACATAGAATAGCAAACTTGTAAACTGTGAGCAGATTTGATTTGGAACATGTTGATAAATTTGGCACCAGAAAATGGGTCACTGATTATATTTCCTCTCTGCATCTGGTACTTGTTGTTCACTTTTTGCTACAATGCCAGGAACACAGGTGCTAAAATTGAGCAGTATAGCTATGGATTTATGAGTCTATCTAGCATTCAGCACACAATGCCTTAAAGTTAGCTTTCACCTTTTGATAGAGCTATTAAGTTGAATTATTACTTTTTTAGGTTTGTCTCTCTCCTCTATACCCCCAAAAAAGAAAAGAAATCACCCAAACAGATTTGTGCATATGAAGAGAATGAAACAAAGAATTTAATCATAACACTAGTGAATGGTTTTCAGACTGACATCTGTACATTAAGAATATGTAAAAATACCAATTTCATGCTCTGACAACTTATTCTGCATTGGTGGTGGGATAATACCATGGGAATGCCAAATGTCAAAGTATTACATAATGTCGTCTGAGGAGCCATCACTGGGAATTCCTTCAGGGAAATTTTCCACAAAAAAAGAGACAGAAATGAGGAGCTGCCAAAAGAAAATAAAAATCGTGAGGTCAGAGTTAAAAAATATTGATAGTGCAGTCTAAAATCTATGTACTTGAATTATTTTCCAGTATTAAATTCTTGTCCTTTTATTTCTATCAAAGGATGGGGCTCTCACACGCTCTTTTGAGAAGCTGCAGGTAAATTCAGAATGGTGTGACAAAATGGGTTTCCTTCTGTCTGCTCCCCCCCGGCACATTCTTTTAAATACATTTTTAGCAGTCCCGGAAAGCACCAACATGAGACATGGAGCCCACCTTTTCTTATTATGAACAGCATAGGGAAGCAGGGCAGAAGGAACATTTTTCTTTCTGGTGGAGCTACTTTTTTGTAGAGAAGAGTAGTTTGGTCTGCATATCCATATAGCCAGACTCCCATCTGCTGACAAGTGTGAAAAGGATGCAGACTCCGAGTTAGGAAAAATGTCACATTTGGAATTTATACACCATGCCTGCAATCCCAACTCTGTTGTGCATGCCCCACCAACAAGCCCATTTCACCTGCTTTGGTCACACTCCCATACGGGTCACTAGCAATATCTATCTTTCAGCCCCTTCTCTATTGCTTAGTGTTGCAAGGCATGTAAGTTCTGCCCTTTTAGGTTTTTCTAAGTTTACCCATGACCATAGAATCTGAGTACCATCTACCAAAACCAAGAGGGAAACTGAAACACTGCATCAGAGATATTGCTCTGTCTGCTTTTATTAATGACTCTTTTCTTGAAGCTTATGGATTGAATTTTTATATTCAGTTTCTGAGGAATTTTGCAATAAACGAAATGCTGTAAGTGCAGTCAACTGATTGGACAGGTACTAGGGTGGCACTGGCACTAAGGTACATGGCTGATAGTTGAGAGGTTGCAAGCTTGACGCTGTGGCAAAAGCACTCATGATGTGGCCCTATCAGATACTAACAAATCTGTGAATTCTGTTAATGTTAATTCACAAGGAGATGGGAAAAAGAGTTGATTGAGCTGTTCAAAATCTCATTTGGTGGGCAGGATCTTGACTTTCATGGGGAAAAGGAAGATGTTTGGCAGAAACAGTCAAATGCTAAAATATTTATGGTTGAAAACAATAATAATAATAAACATTATATTTCACATATTTTTCCTTTAGACCAATATGGCTACAACCCGGACACTTGAAACATCATATTGGGGGTTATGTTTTTTTCATTGCAAAGTCAGCAATATTCTTGGAAAGGAGGCATTCTGTGTGAAAAGTTTCATTTAATTCGAAATTCTCAGTTTTCTAATTGAAAAACAGAAAGTTTTGATCTCTGGTTGCTTATGCAAAGAACAGGATGTATTTATGCAGGCTCTTCTTTGTGAGGATAGGGAGCGATAAAAACCAAGCGAAGACTAGTACAAGAGCAGTATGCCCTTTGTTCATGTCAGTGCACTCCCCACATCAGCCCTGGCCCTACTTCAGCTCCAGGCCTAGTGCTTGCTGCTTCAACACTTATTCTCACTGACATCCTATCACACTTTTAGCTTCTTTCATTCCTTGGCATCTCAGAACAGCCGAGACTTCCTATGCCTAAAGAAGGGTAACTGCACCCAAAAGCTTGCAGAGAACTTTCTTCCAACTACTCAGTTGGTCTAATAAAAACATATCACATCTCCTCAAAGAAACATGTCTGCTGCTTCAACACTCACCACAGACCCAACTCCATTTTTCATCCCTTTAGATCCTTTCCACAGCCCATCAGTTTCTGTCTTTTCTCCCTTGCTGTCTTCTTTCCTCTCATTCTTTTTGCCCCTTCTGCACATTATCCTGTCCCCAAGCTCTTTTTCCTGCATTCCCCAGCTACTGCTGCTTCTCCCCTCACCTCCCTCTCATTCCCTACTTGCCTCTCTACTCATTTTCTTTAACTACTGCCTCCTCCTACACCTAGCCCTTCCTC